CAGCGTTTCCCCCTCGCGCCACTGGTCCCCGGCCAGTGCTGCCCGGGGGGGGTCCTGCCCCAAAACAGGGGAGGCTGAGGGGTCTCAATCCCCCCCCCCAGCCCCAAAACAGGATGAGAATGGGGTCCTGGCCTTAAAGTAGGGTGGGTAAGGGGTCTCTGTTCCTCCCCAGCCCCAGAATGGGGGGGGAGGGGAGGTTGTGGCCCAAAATGGGGTGGGCAGGGACCCCAGCCCCTTGGGGCTCAATAACGGGGTCCCCCATGGCCTGGAAATGGGACAGACCCAGGTGTGGTCCCAGCTCTTGGGGGGCTGCAGGGTCCTGGTCCCCCACAGCTTGACCTGGTGGGGGGTCCCAGTGTCCTGTCCCCTCCCCAGCCCTCCCAGGCTCAGCCTCTGCCCCTGTCCCCCAGGATCTGGTGGCCCACGGTGCTGGCCCTGCTGGTGCACAGGGTGGTGGCCCAGCTGCTCCCCCAGCCCGAGCTGGATGCCCAGTGGGACCTGTGGAAGAAAACCCACCGCAAGCAGTACAACGGGGAGGTGAGGGGGGGACCACCCGGCCCTGGTGTCCCTGGGAGGCTGGGGGGGACCATGGGAAGGACCCCCCAACACTGTATTTCCCCTCCCCCCCCCATGGTGCAGGCAGATGAAGTGGAAAGGAGGCTGATCTGGGAGAAGAACCTCAAGTACATCAACACCCACAACCTGGAGCACTCCCTGGGCATCCACACCTTCGAGCTGGCCATGAACCACCTGGGTGACATGGTGAGTGTCCCCGGGGAGGGGAGGAGAGGAGATGGCAATAGGGGGGGTTGAGAAGGGGGCTGAGCACCCTTGGGTGCTGCTCTGCCCGCCAGGGCTGCACCCACACACCTTGGGCTCCTTCTCCAGACCAGCGAGGAGGTGGTGAGGACCATGACGGGCTTGAAGGTGCCCCGTGGCCACCCACGCCACAACGAGACCCTTTATGTCCCCAACTGGGCTGAGAGAGCCCCGGCTGCTGTGGACTGGAGGAAGAAGGGCTACGTGACACCCGTCAAGAACCAGGTAAGCCGGGTGTTCCCGGGGGTGCTGGGGACGGGGGTGTCACCCTGCTTGTCACCCTGCTTGTCACCCGTTGTGTCCCTGCAGGGCCAGTGTGGCTCCTGCTGGGCTTTCAGCTCGGTGGGTGCCCTGGAGGGGCAGCTGAAGAGGAAGACGGGGAAGCGGCTGACCCTGAGCCCCCAGAACCTGGTGGACTGCGTGGCCAACAACGACGGCTGCGGCGGCGGGTACATGACCAACGCCTTCGAGTACGTGCGGCGCAACCGCGGCATCGACTCCGAGGACTCCTACCCCTACATCGGCCAGGTCTGGGGGCTCAGGGCTCCATCTCCTCCCCCCCCACGCGTCTGCCACTCCTTCCCCAGCTCACCTGCCCCTTGTTGATCCCACCCAGGACGAGAGCTGCATGTACAGCCCCACCGGCAAAGCCGCCAAGTGCCGCGGCTACCGGGAGATTCCCGAAGGGAACGAGAAGGCCTTGAAGAGGGCAGTGGCCAGGATCGGGCCCATCTCCGTGGGCATCGATGCCAGCCTGCCCTCCTTCCAGTTCTACAGCCGAGGTGAAGGGGCCTGGGGGGAAACTGAGGCACAACCGGGAGCACCTCAAGCACCATGTTCAGTTCTGGGCCCCTCGTGACAGAACCATGGGATGTTTGGAGTTGGAAGGGACCTTAGAGATCCTTGAGCTCCAACTCCCCTGCATGGGCAGGGACACCTCCCACTAGAACAGGCTGCTCAGAACGTTGGATGATGGCAAGGACCTTGAGGGGCTGGAGCATGTCCAGAGCAGAGCAACCAAACTGGGGAAGGGTCTGGAGAACAAGTCCTGTGAGGAGAGGCTGAGGGAACTGGGATTGTTCAGGTTTGAGAAGAGGAGGCTGAGGGGAGAGAGACCTCCTGGTCCTCTGCAGCTCCCTGGGATGAGGCTGTAGGGAGGTGGGTGTTGGGCTCTTCTCACCACAGGGCTAGAGAAAGCTGCCTTATTGGGATGTTGGGAATATTGGGAAGAACATCTTGACCCAAAGAGTGGTTGGACATTGGAACGGGCTGCCCAGGGAGCTGGTGGAGTCACCACCCCTGGGGGTGTTTAACAACCGCGTAGACGCGGCACTTCAGGACGTGCTCTGGAGGGGGGGCTTGTTTGGTCTGGTTTGGCTTTTTCTCCTTTTATTTGGGGGTCGATGGTCAGACCCGGTGCCCTTAGAGGTCTTTTCCAGCCCTGCCTGGGTGTTGAACCCCCTCCCTGTTCCCAGGCGTGTACTACGACGAGAGCTGCAACGGCGCCAACATCAACCACGCGGTGCTGGCCGTGGGCTACGGCGCCCAGAAGGGCACCAAGCACTGGATCATCAAGAACAGGTAGGGCTGGGCAGGGGGCAGCAGGGCTGTGCAAACCCCCC